TTTCTACGCAAACATTGTGTCAGTTTGTCTAATCGTCTTTTTTGACTGTACAGGTCTTGTAGAATCATGACTCTTTTTTTTATTTTATTAGTGTAACGAATGTGTAACAATATTAGTCAATTTTACTCTGTACTATCCATACTGTAATACTTTTTTGTAGTTTTGTTTTATTATTATTTTCTCCAAAGGATAGTATAGAGCAGTTAGAGAGAATGTCCTCATGCAAAAGTCCTAAACACAGTTGTATTAACATCCGTTTTGTGATTGGTTTAACATTTTTACTTTCTTTTTTGTCCAACAAAAGTGTTGGAGAGTGTATTTTGGAATAAAAATTATGATAACTACATCACAGAAATCTTTTTAAAAATATGCATTTTAAAACTACTAAACTGACTAATTATCTTGCAGTTTAAAGTCTAAATTATATTCTTGTCATCTTCTAAAAAGAGCTGTGTGCAGACTTTATCTGTGAATAGTGAAACAATTTCAGCGTTATTCCTCACCATTGTTGGACAGTAGTTTCATTTGGTAGGATTCTTGTCCAGTACATAGTCTGTCCGTTTGTTGTCTCAGACCACCTTCCTCTGTTTGGAGAATGTCAGCTAAAGGCCAAGTGATTCGAATACAATGACATCTAGGTCTGGACTTGAACAGCAGGCCTAATGTTAGTCACCCCAGGTTGGCAACTACAAAATAAGACAGGAAGTGAACCACACCGTGACAACATTAAGATATGAAAAACTTAAGCACTGCAGAAAATGTTTTTTGAGCACTATTTTCATGAAACTTGCCAAGACACTCCATTATTTTTTATACATCTAGAAACGCTATCCACTGGAGGCCATAGGAGTCCCATGAAGCGGTGATCATTTTAAAAGGGGTGACCGTGGCAGAGCAGGGTCGTCCTTTAGTCAGGGGATCAGAGTTTGGATCCTCGAAACCGCTAGTCAGTATTTCCATGTGTCCATGGGCAAGATTCTTAACCTCAAATTGCTCCTGCAGGTGATTCATGCGGTGTAGGAATGGATATAAGTGGTTAGGAATTTATGGTGGGCAGGGGGAACCCTGCATGGTAGCCGCTGCCATCAGTGCTTGAATAGATGAATGATAACATGTAGTGTTAAAGTGCTTTGGTGGTCAAACAAGCGCTGTTCAGGTCCATTCCTGCAACATCATTTTTTACAGTGAAATCAAGTTTCAGAAATTGGCTCATGATGTTAAATGTCTATTTTGGATCAACAAAAAATACCATTAGGTTCATTGGATCTATAAGATTTCCAGCTTTCCAGTCATAATCAATTTATTTAGAAGTATCATTTATAAAACAGGTGAAAATAACGAAATTGCACGTTTTTTGTCCAACATTGCTTGAGATAAGCACATAATTGATATGTCTTGGGAGAACTTTGATACCCATAAAACGAATTTACATTAACATATTGTGAGATTATGATTAATCAGGCTTTACTTTTGACCGTTATTCAACCCGTTTTCTAAATAGCCACCACGATTTGGTTGTTACTAATGGAGCATCCCGTACCTTATCTACAGTCTAATAAGGACCGTATGTCAGTCGGAGCTTGCCGGTAATCCTTCTGTTCTGTTTTAGACAAGATGACCCATAAAACCGTGATATTAAAAACATCACATATTTGGATGTGAAAAGTATTATTATAGTATTTTGACTGGGATATTATGACAAAAATGCCATTTTTTTAATTGAACGTGGGACATGGTCGAAAGATGAGACATTCAACACTCCGCTGTGTGCTAAACGAGAGAAAAAGATAGAAAGTGAAGGAATGTGAGAGAAAGGCAGGAAGAAACAAAGAGGAGGCTGCAAATTAAGAGTGGAGCAATGCTGGCGGACATTAGCATGCTTTTAGCTGGCACACTAGCCTGCCAAGTTGTAGGATTTAACCTGGAGCCCCTGGGCTTCGCTGAAAAAAAACTCAGTGGGCTTAAGGGGCCCCGTGGCTGGCTGCAGCCGAGGTCCCATTGTTTGGGCTGCGGGAGAAGGGAAACACTGAATGAATGGAGGGAAAACAAGAGGAAAACCGAGAGGAGGAGGAAACAGAGGAGGAGGCCAGACGGAGAACAGCAAGTGTTTCCAGGGAGCAGAGCCAACATGTAGAAAGAGGAGTAAGCAGGTAGCTGTCGTGCACTGAGGGCCTACAACAAAAGGTTCACAGAGTTGTGATGACAAGTGCCAATCTAGGGAGTCGGTATGTCACTGAGGGTCAAACAGGTTCAAAACATACTCTGTCAGTAACTTCCAGAAAGCACTCCCATCGCTGAACGGCTGACAATGTACTGTATAGTAATGAGAGCACATAACTTACATGTGATAAACCATCACTACTTTTTACAAGATTTGTAAAGACTGAATGTTGAGCCTCAGTGAAACTGTTTATCCTTACATTTCCACTGCTAACCCATTACCTTTTAATAAACCTTGAAATATTTAACACTATAGCGGCGAGCAGAACCCATATGGGCAAAAAACAAGCCAGAACCGGGTCAGAACCGAGCTAGAACTGACATTTGGGGTACTGATCATGAACACAGATAAGAATGCCATAGTCCTTTCAAAGCATTAGAGTCCAAATAAAATAATCTAAACACAACTTCAACTATGGTAATATTAGTAAAATAAAAATACTATGCGAATGTGTGTTAGGCTTTCTCACAATAAGGACTCAATCGCAGACCTGGGGTCCGTTTCAAGAGGCGGGTTAACCCTGAGGAAACTGAGTTTCTTTCAGTCTCCTCCCTCTGACAGCAGCCCAGCCAATCACACAGTGCGCTTTCATTTCCTCATTCATTCAAGTACTCTATACTCTACTATCAGGCGGATTTTAGCGCAGTTTTGACATGCGAACAAAATAAGATACAATTTTTTCTTGAGCATGTCCTTTTCTGGACGATCCTGTTGACGAAGAAGCGCTATTACTTCGAAAGGTGTTAAACCTACGTCGGGAGACAATATTGAGACCCCGATTAGATATATTGTCATTTCCAGATGACTACTTGTTTGAACGTTATCGTTTTTCTTCACAGTCGATCACATATGTACATAACCGCATCCGTCCTCATATATCTAACGTCACTCATCGTGGACATGCTCTCATGTCCGAGCAGATTCTTTGAGTAGCATTAACGGCAGTTTCCTGTACAACGTCGGTGATGCAGAGAATATTTGTAAAGCTACTGTATGCAGAGCCGTGAGAAAAGTGTGCTTAGCTCTGAAATGTCTTTTAAACGTTTTTGTGGTGTTCCCTGGACACAAACCAGTGAGAGCCATTAAAGAGGAGTTCCACAGGATTGCAGGTGAATGCTGTAAAACCCTTTACAATTAATCATTATTATAATTCCGTTAATTACATGGCGTTGCAAGATCAGAATTGTATAAGGCAGCGATTCCCAAAGTGTGGGCAGCGGCCCCCTGGTAAAGTAAATATACCGCATTTTCCGCACTCCAAGGCGCACTTTAAAGGCTTTAATTTTCTCAAAAAATGACAGTGCCTTATATATATGGATCAATTGGTTAATCGGTTGATCCATTCTGGTTGTACACGGCGCTCAAGGTGCTCTGCCAAACATGCCAAAGCTCGGTCTAAGGCGGCGAGATGCTGAGCAGGCGCTCAAGCGCGTGAGATATGGAGCTTGTTTCAGGGCGCGTCGGAGAAACAAAGCTGTCGTTCTTGCCGAGCATTTAATGAGATTAAAGAGCGAGAGACGGTGCCCTTTTCTCTACAGTAGCTGAACCATCCTAACGGGGAAAATAAGTTATTCTAAAAGCAGCCGAAGATTTAAGGCGTGAATGGCGAGGGGGAGGCGGGAGCGGACGCAACTCGCAGCATCGATCGGACCCTGAAAGCACCGTCTCCACCTTACTTCAAAAAGAACAACAACGAGCGCGTAGAAAACTCCTTTGAGCGCGAGCAGAGATTCTCCTCGCGAGCAACTAAGTTCACGTTTCACGAGCGAGCAAATACCTCGCGGAGACAAACTTTTGCTCGCGCAAGACGGACTTTTGCTCGCGGATGTTTGATTTTGGTTAAATTCTTATGGTCATTTAATCATTATGTTTTGATCAGAGTTGTGATTAAAGGTTTGGGTGGGCCGCGAAAGATTTTCAGATTTCAAATTGGGCCGCGGCATTCTTGAGTTTGGGAACCGCTGGTATAAGGAATTGTAATTTATTTTAGGATTTCCCAATGTGATTGGCTGCATTGATGGGACACAAATTCCAATCACTGCTCCTTCAGTGAATGAAGCAGACTATGTGAATAGGAAGTCTTTTCACAGCATCAATGTGCAGGTAAATTGACCACTGTCACAAAATGTCAAATACCACATCACAATACTGCAAGTAACAAGTGTAATTCGCTGTACCATCAAGATCATATGTGATGCTGCACTCACGGGTATATCGTGAGTCTGCACTCAGCAACAGGATGGAACGTGGTAAGCAGGTTAAAGCTTTCTACGGTATTATTCACCAGTGTCCCTCTTTAGACTCTTTACACTGAAATGTATACCCTTTACATTACAGGAGAGTTTGAAGGCCTTCTGCTGGGTGACAGAGTTACCCGTGCCAGCCCGCTATGGTCACTCCTTACCCTGACCCTGATCCAGGCCCCCAGAGCACCTTTAATGTGGCCCATTGCAGGACAAGAGCCCGGGTGGAGATGACCATAGGACTGTTGAAAGTGGAAAGTGGAAAGTGGAAACTGGAAAGTTCGTTTCCAGTGCCTACACCACCTCAGGGTAACCCCTGACAGGGCCTGTGACATTATTGTGGCATGTGTTGTTCTCCATAATATTGCCACAATTATAAGAGAGCAACACCCTGCCCATTAAATAGAGGACCCTGAAGAGAACCCCATTTACCCTACAGATGTCCAGGATGGAAGAGGAGTCAGAGACATCACAAGCAGAAATCACTTTACCGATTAAAACACATGCACCACCAAAATAAAGAAAATGCATCAAACTTCATTTTGTCTTCTTTATTTCCTAAAAATACAAAAGCAACAGTAGGTTTCGATTTTGTTCCAATATAGAACACAAATCACCTGTAACCATGCACCCACCACTAGCTTGTATTTTAGGATTTCGATTTCAAGATTCGTCTTTTTTATCTGACGGTCCAGCAACACCTTTTTGAGGTCACTTTTAAAAATATTTTTTACTAGGTGGATCCTATAAATGTCCTTTGCAGGTAACTGGGAATACATAACATCATGACATTAAAATCATACAGTTGAACATCATAAATCTATGGCAGTTGTTGCACATCTCACTGGGTTTAGTAGTGATGTGGAGGTTGCCCAGCCACGTTAAGAATATCCAGTCATATGTCACACTCCATATCCGCATATACCACAATGTGTTCTCCTCATCGGTTTCCTCCTGTGGAGATGAGCATTGTTATAGACTCTAAAGTACTTGCATCATGTCTGAGGTATTTAGTTGTCTTACAGCATCAAGGACTTCTGCTGTGGCATGAGGGTCCACAAGGGAGAGTGCACCATCAGAATCTGTTGGGACAAATGATAAACCTGTAAAGGTAATAAATGATCTATTCACATTGGAATAAGATGAATATAACACCATTACATCTTATAAAGGCACTTGTGTCCTGTGTAATGGGAAAATGATGTAACCCTTTTAAATGCTTCATTTGTATAACCAGTTTATTAGTTGCAAGTGGTTGGATCACAAAGGCCCTGACATAAGAACTGATGTCTCCCACTTGGATTAGATGTTTCCAGCGTCATAGCTGTAGAGATTGAACAAAGTGTTTGTTATGTCTATGACCACCTTTGTTTTAGCATGTTGGGAGAGCAAGGACACGGTCAAAGAACTGACGTGTCTTACATGGATAAGATGTTCCCAGTACCCTGGCTGTAGATACTCAACAAGATGGTCAAAAGGTTTCTGTTGACGCCACCGATATCTAAACTTAGGTATAAGAACTGCCTCGATGTGTTGGGGAGGAATTATAGTCAGGTGAGGGACAGCTCCTCAGCCTCTGTCAGAGGTGGTGGTGGTCCTCCACCAGTTTTTCCCGCCTCTGCCTTCTTTCTGTTGGCTGAGTGGAAGTCACATGTTATTTTAAATGGGCCATTTACAAAACTGGATAGGTGAGAGGAAGTTTATGTATGCGAAATTGTGTTAAAGCTACATTACATTCAAATTTACCAATGAATATTTACATTCACATTTAAAATGTGACTACAACGAAGTACAGCCATGAGCATATTACATGCAACACCGTACCTGTTTGAACTATGCGTTTATACTTTATTTTCAGCTGATTCCACGACCGTTTCTCACTGGGATTGCACCTGAATAAGGCGCTCAACTGAGTGAACCTACTCAAGAGTTGATTGAACCAACTCTAAACAGCTGTTCTGAAACCCAAAACTCAGAGTTTCCCATCTCAGGGTAAATCAACTCAGAGTTTAGAGTTTGACTCAGAGTTTGTTAGTTTGAGTTGAGTTTGAGTTGGCCCATGTCGGGCCAAAGCATACTTCCAAAAAGCAAAAAAAACACAGAACAGCAAAAATCTGAAAGTCCCATGGGCTAACAGAACTACAGAGCTAAAAAAAAAAATCTTGTAAAAATGTCAGGTACTCAAAAATGCAGGGTTCAGGCATAGATTCTCACACACTGAATTACAATCCGACAGGGAAAGACACAACTATATATAGAAGGAGGAACTAACAAAGACACAGGAAAACAATCAGGGAGATGATAGGGGACAGGTGAGTGACAAAAAGGTCGGGAAGCAGCAGAGGGCGGAGTCTCCGGACAATGACAGAAAACACAGCAAACACATGACGAAATAAACAAACGGGGAAACACGTGGCATAAGACACACAGCGATCACAATGAAAAATGTCTCTTATATCACTGGGATCTTAACAATGTGTCAATTTGCAAGATTTTCAAAAAACATTTTCAGTCTTTCAAAAATAAATTGTATAATAGAAAACAACAGTAGCATCAGCGGATCACTCTGAATCTAGTGATTGTCTGAGAGAAATAAAACAAGTCTCCTGAAGTTATCGTGAAATAACCACCAAACAACTGATGCAAAAAAATAGAATATTTTAGTGTGTCTCGTTGTGATCAGAGCCAGACATGGTTAGCCTGGCTTCAAACATCAGAATCCTGGCAACAATAAGCCACAAACCACATAAAAATACTCCAACTTTAGCATGTTGTGTAAGCAACATATTCCATGTACACTGCAAAAAAGGAATTTCAAGAAAGTAAAAAAAGCCTTGTATCGAGAATATAAGTCTTATTTTTATCTTATTTTTTGCTCAAAAAGAATATTAATCTTGTCAAGCATGTTTTAATTAGAAAAATTCTCTAATCTTAAGAAAGTATCCCTTACTTTTTCTTGATAAGATATACCAGCTAATTTTGAGCTAGAATGAACCAGAAACAGAGTTTACAAATGTTTTACAATAAAACCCAGTGCAGTGACAAGATTATTTGCCTTATTTTAAGAGTAACACCATTTGCACAACTTCTCAATTTAAGAATACCATGAAACAAGGACAGTTTTTTTTTTTAATGATTATTATTTTCATTGCTGGGCAGAACCTGCTGCTTCATATCTAACATATTATGATGACAGCAGACTGGTCTATAAAACACACAACATAATACAAATAACCATGCTGAATAAAAATTGCATGGCCGATAAACAAAACAAAATGAAAAAACGGCCAAAATGATATGACCCTTGACTCAATTGCATCCTGAATCACAAAAGAACATGCAGTATTCTGCAGCATCAGCATCTGACTGCTAATTGATTGTTCATCTCAAGAAGAAAGAATCATGAAACAACAAAATTGACGGTCAAGAAGCACAATTTGTGGCAAACACATTAAACAGTAAGCCTTTTACAGTCCATCAGATGAGGCTCTGTGTAGCCCAAGCACATCTCCAAGATAATATTTTGTAGGGACATATGTCACATCCTTGTGAGAATAACTATAATATGGAGTGAAATCTACCAGATTATCAGATGCTATGAGTTCAGTTGCTTGTGCCATGTTTGGAATCTCTATTGTATATGCCATGTAATTTCCATCATAGCGAACAGTAGTATGCTGTTGCAACTCAAAACAATATAATGATGCGTTAATTACATAGATATTACTCACAAGTCCAAACTCAGGTAAATCATTGGAATTAACAGCAGTTACAAGTAATGTCTTCTCCCGTATATATTTATTACCATTTAGATTAATCCATTTAACAGACACTGCATTGTCAATGTCATCAGTTCCAAGGAAAGCCCTTGTCTTTTCTTTCAAATACGACATGTTGCGTATTTCTGAAGTTGGTCCAAACCCACACTCGTTTACAAAAATTGGTTGTTCAGAATGACTTACATTTTGACAACATTCATACATTTGATTATGCCTTATTAAGGACTTGCAAACGTTTCGAAAATTTAGTTTTGAGGCCCACTGTTTGAAAAAACAATGTTTTGATTCAAATCTCATGCACATGTGACGGACCATTGGTCCCAGGAGTTTTATCTGCGATGGAGCATGAATCAAATAATGCATTTTTGGGATAATGTTGTTATCAGGGAAAAGACTTTTCATATGTTTTAAATGCTGTTCAATTAGTCTTTTCAACTTGCTAATTGTCTGTAGACCAATGACCGGAGCAAACAAAATTTTAACAATTTCTATGAGTTCAAGAATTATTTTGTAGTACTCAGTATCTTTAGCTGTATCAATAAGAAATGGCAAAATCTTCAGTAGAACTATCATTTGGCCTGAGGATTGCTTCAATTTATTATCAGTTGAAGCTAATGTGCTGTAAGCTATAGGGCTTGGTTTGTCTCTGACATCAAGTGGAGAGTAGGGAAATCCAGTTAATGCAGTATTGAGAACATCCAAGTCTAGTTGACCTAAAAGAACTAACTGTTTTAACACACACTTTATTTCTAATGGAGCAATGCCTTCAAGAATTATATGCATCAGATCCTGAGGTGTTTGTTCAATCAAGTTAAAGCCCGGAAATTCTATCAGCTTGCTTCTTCTGTTAATGCCAAATGTAGTCTTTAAACTGTTTCTAAGATACTCAGTATTTGCCTTCTCAATGTCACTACACTGTCGAACATGTTTTTCTAGTGTACTTAGCTCAAAATTGTTTTCGTCAAAATACATTTGCATGTCCTCAAACGAACATTCACACTGCCGACACTTACTATAGGCAAAACCAACACCCTCTTTAAATCCACAAAGCTCATGTTGTGCTAAGGTGTCTCCACATATCGAAACTAATGCTCCAAATATTTCACGTTCCCCATTCGCAGTTTGAATATTAACACCATCATATAGCATTTCCAAGTCCTCATACAACCTGCCCAAAATTCCATCCACTCCACAATCAGACAACTCTCTCTTCTTTGCAATAGCAAGTAGACGAATTGCTGCAAGTTTTGATCTATATTTTGGATCAATGTTTCCTAATGTATAATAAAACATTAGTAACTTATTCTTGGAGGCATGAGATCCAAGTGGATTGCAGATTTCAATTTCGTCTGAGTAAATAATTATCTGTAAAGCAGAGGGCCGGGCTGAAAATAAAGGATGTGATTTCATGAGCTCTCCATCTATGATGTCATACAGATAACCACCACTTCTGTATTTTTGCGGCTGATCTATCATTTCTAAAACTTTTGGATGGGACAATAACTGTTCTATACTTTTAATCAGAGGTACGTAATGAAAACATTTGGTTCTTGTGGAGAGGACCCTTTTTGTCCCTTTTTTCTTCAAGCATGCAGTATACCCAACAGAAACCTCCTCTGACTCCACAAAATTGAAATTTTCCTTAATCACGTTGTCCTGCCTGTATGTTGTTGCAACAGAGGAAAATGGATCCTCAATCCGGTCGAATAATGCCATCGCTTCCTTTTCAAGTTCACTTCCTTGATGTTGCTGGAATACAGTTTGTAGCTGACTCCTCAGATTAGTCACCAACAGGGCTTGATATTGCTGCATTGCTGCCAAGACATCATTCACACCTCTCTGAAAAACAGTCAAGAAAGAGCAAATTAAACCCAAACAGTCCAGTTTTAAAATTGTTCCCCACAAAACCTCTTTTATAAATAATACAAATATTAATAAGAGTAACATCAACACAATGATGCTTTTCAGCGAATTGATACAGCATTATTAAAAGTATTCAAAATATGAAATTATCCTAACTAGATAGCAGAGAGCAAATACAAGGCATTATTAAAAATGAAACCTCATGGAGATACAAGTTAGGTTGCAGCTAAGGGAGACTAATTAGGTAACTGTAAACTGACTTGGATTTGACATGCAGATAATAAACAGAGCCACAGATGAAATGAATGTAATGTTGTATGTAGACAAACCTGTGAAAGGTGGTGTTTTTCTCTTGCAGTTAACATAATAGCAGTAGCTTGTCTGGTGAGAGTGTTATGCCTGATGTCATCCTTAAAAAAAAGGGGGGGAAAAAGAACGTATAATAAAATACACTGTTGCCACACACACAGATGCGCAGTGATAAAATAGCATTTTATGACAATCCAGTTGAGATTTATTTTTGAAATGGTGAGACATAAACAAAAAGATTGATAATAAAGCTTAGCTGTGTACTGAAGGAAACAGCAGATTTACCTCTGACTGACATGATGCAGAAGAGTCTACAGCAGGACATGATCCAACAGTCATTACATCTTGCACCCTGTTTTCCACCACTGCTTCATCCGTTTGATGCTCTCTGATTTGCACCGTCGCATCAGTTGGCCTGTATGTCCACGCATTCACCGCTGAAGAGGCTTCCGGGCTTGCTGTTGACCTCTCTCTCCGTGAGTTGCTGCTGCCACTTTCAAGGTGTTCGTAGTGGTTTCTTGTAATGTGATACCATAGAGAGTTGTAGACTCGATACTCTTTGGTGCATCCATCAATTCCACAAATAACGCGAAAATCCGGACCGCGACTATGAGAAATATTAATATGACTCAATAAAGATTTGAGATTGAGAGCCACGAACACAAAGCAAATAACACAGCGCCAAATCATTTCCCCCGCTTTTAGCCTAGGTTAACTAGCTAGCTGGAGTGCGACCTACGTTTTCACCCGCTCTGTCTGACCGTCTGAACCAGGACCTGGTGCTACGTCACGTGAAAAGGTACGTACCATAATTCAGTGTCTTATGACAGCAGAAACGACTTGCCATTTATCGATTATCACATGAGTGTGACACGATTTTAATCATTATGAAGTAATATGATCTTATTTAGATGAATATAATTTGTATAAATGCTAAATAAACTCATTTAGACTGAGTGCCCACCCCTCTTGGAAGATGGTACAATCCAACCTTTTGCGCATTTTTTTTTCTCCGCTTGGTGTCCGTTACAATTTGAATTTGGCCTACAGAGTAGCTACTCCCGAGGTCACCTGCTGCTGCGCGAATTGATTTTTCTCAAACGTCGACTGTGCATATCAGAGTCAACAGATGGACAAACTGGACGAGGTTGCAATTGCCACACTCAGAGGTATGCTACAGGGGTTACTTTTATGTTGTACTTGAGTTCTTTACCTATTTTAACGATTCGTGGATTTGCGGCTAATAGGCTAAAGTTTAGCAGCTAATCTGCATTAAAAAAACGGCTCGTGTTGCATTATGATTCCCATCTAGAAATAGGTTAAGTCTAATTAAGCTTTCAGTCCATTATGTTAATATTAAGGGCTGTAAATGCTGAAATAACATGGTCGTAAAACGTTACGGGTTAATTGATTAAGCAGTGCACATGCCCAGGCATGAGCCGTAGCCATTGCAGCTATATATATATATATATATATATATATATATATATATTCTTTAAATATATTAACTGACATGTGAATGCATTTTATCTAGAAAGGCTCTATTGTCACACTTACTGTAGTTGGTGTCAATATATGTACCAGTAATTTATAAATGCTGTCAAATTCACTATACTCTTGAATTAAAAAAAGGAAGCATTTGTAAAATGTCCAAACAGTGCTTATTGTACATGGGGTGTTGGCAAAAGGTCCTCACCTGCTATGTTAAAATTAGGGAATTAAATGATAACCTTTGCTTCTTGGCCCTGACTGTAACTGTTCTATATTCCAGTTGCTAATATTGGAGAAGACTTACTCCCCTCCCTTTCCCGAGACGACATCAAAGACCTGTTTCCTGGTCCTGAAAATTTCTTGAGGCGGCGGGCTATATGGCTGGTTGTAAATAAAGATGAAAAGGTCAGGTTTGTCTTTCACAGTACAACAGAACTGTTTAACAGTACAACATTTTTCCAATATCACAGTTGAAATCTGGTTCATATACATAAATATGTCATTAGTTTAGACATTTCTGCTTTGAGTTCATTTCAACAGTAGATATAAAATAAGTGTTTTTTTGTAATCCCCAAAATGTAAATGCTTAAACTAACAAGTATGAACTATGACAAAGTTACTCAATAAATGTTTGTGTAATTATGTTTTAGGTGGATACTGCTCCCGAAATTCAGCAATCACCCCCGACTGGAAGCAGTGACTTTTCAAAAGAGGAGGCCAATACTTCTAAATTTGTGACTATGTCAAACCCAGAATACATAGTCTTCACCGACAGTGAGCTTGAACAGGTGCGACGCTCCTACTTTGAACAGAAACGACTGGGGACCGAGCGCAATGTGACCCTTTCCAAGGAGCTCTTCTGCCGACTTATAAGAAACACTATGACTAACATGATCTCCATCGCAAGAGCCACAGACGACTCCAGATACCCCACCAAACATGAGGTGAATGCCATGGCAAAGCGACTGGTGGACTACTATCCAATGATAAAAGACAGGTCATCAGACAATGAGTGGGTGAGTAGATTTTGTCACTTTTGCTTGTTGCTGGTCGTGATGTTAATACTGAGATATCTGTTCATACAGTGCTAAATCGTGACAGAAAGTTCAAATGGAGCAAGACATTGCCGAAAGCTATAATTATAATATTGTAAAAAACAAAAATATGTTGACTATGTATGTCTCGCAGGAGCATGTTGCCAAAAAGCTCATGAAGAGACTCTCAAATGTCAGAAGTCCAAAGAAGGCCAAAGGTCCTCCTTCCAAGAAACCACGACAAGAAGTCCGTTCAGATGTTGCAACTGACTATGATGGAGATTCCAGTACATCCACCATTATTCTGGAACGGTCACCTGTTAGTCCCATGGGCATCCCAGTAGATATGTCATTTAGAACCAGCACCCCAGCGCAGAACCGGAACAGCAGTGATGAAGAATGTATGTATAGTATTACATATAATTTATCAGTTTTACTTGTTATTTTGGAAATCTCATGTCCGCTTTCCACCATAACGTTCCTGCAATGTCTTCAGCTTGTTCAGTTGACATCATGGACAGCCAGAAAATCCAAGCAAGACACTACAAGACCCTCCAAGAAATATACAAAGCCAAAAAGCCAAACAAAGCTGCGGTAACTCATTTGCTGAACATGGAATTTGAGTCTCGAAGATGCTTCATCACCTCTGATGTTTTAAAGGAGCAAGACCGAGCAACAAAGATTCTAGAGGCTTACCCTTGTTTCAGAGAACTGGATCATGTAAGTAATGTTCTTGGGGTTTTTTGGGGGGGGTTTAAGAAGAATAAGTCATCAGAATGTTTTTTTTCTTTATCTGAATCTATTTTCCAGGTGCTGGATGAGCTGCAGCGAATCATCCAACCGACCAACTCCCAGTACGTATCAGAGATGCAGAACAGATGGAAAACCTTCTATTCAAAGGTCCAGTTTTATGGAGTGATGAAGAAGGCCATGAAGACTCCTAAAACTTTGAATGGAGGTGAAGTCACAATACATTGACTTCATTTTATATAATAATGTCTCGTAATTATTTGTTATCTTAAAGTTATTTATGGTACCACCTTGTATTGTCCCTTTTCCATTAAACCAGTGGAGCATATCACAGCTGTCTTCAGAGCCCTTCCACTGCTCTTTCCGTCCAGCACTTTGCCACCGAAGAAACTGGGCTCAAGCAGCGAGGCTCTTTTCCATGTCTTAGCGGTGAGATTTACAGACTTACTGAAACATTTTATAATATATGTTAGTGTTTCAGGCATACATCTTTTATTACGTAGGTTTAGTTACTTTGCGATAAACTTATCATTTCAAAAGCTCCAAAGGGGAAGTGTTTTCCATAGTGTACTTAATGTAGTACTAACTTTGATGGAACTAGCCGTGCATTCAGCATTTGCAGTAGGCTTAATGCTGAGGGGTGACTGTGTTTTAAAGTAGAATATGATTTCACTAATGTCCTAGTTCAGGTATTACGTTTATGTTACTTGCAATGTTTTTTATAATCTTCTTGATTTATTTGTGTCATCTAGACTTCTGAGGATCCTGATGGTTTCATGCAGCAGCGACCCCTGTCTTCTCCGGTTCTGATCGTTTCTAAGGACAACTACATGATCGCAATCGGAAAAACACCTGTGACTACCGTCCCCATGGACAGACTTAATGAGGGACTTCTCTACGTCATGGCATATTACTATGTCTTGCACATGACCTACCCCAAGTGCATTTCTACACTACTCTCAGTACTGCAGACAGAGGTACTTCAAGATTCAATTCATGAGCACGATTTGACCCCTCACTACAAAAAAGCGATGGGTGAGTGGAAGTCATTCAGTGAGTGAGTCCCTTTGTCCATCACTCTGCCTGTTGTAACACTTTCAAAGAAAGTTGATGTTCTGTTTTTTTTTTTTGATAGTGAGGTTCAAATCAAAACTGGCTTTTCAATCTGTTATATTATGATAGCCCTGGAATGTGGAATTTGTCCTTTGGATGTTGAGTTGAGCAATTGTATTGCAACGTTAATAAAATTCTTTTAATGAGAATGTTTGTGTCTTGATTTAAGACAATATCACTTATATTTGTTATGCTGTTTTAAGAAATTATGTCTCTTTTTAACAAATTTTATGCTCATTATCAATCCCAGATTAAGGTGACAATTCTTAAATTTAAATTAGTAACCAGACTTAAATTCTCATTTTAAGTAACTTAACCTTAAATTATTGTTTTTTTCATTGCTTGTTTCAGAAGAATTTGGGTTAATTTAAGATTTTCTGTCTAGTTTAATGTCTCATTTTAGTCTTTCAGAGCTAAGAATTTTTGGCTTATTTTAAGAAATCTTGTCAAGCAAATAAAGCTTACCCCATTGGCAGATTTCTTTGCTTGATATTGGATAATTTGATTGAATATAAGAATTTTTTGCTACTTTTTAGAAGGACAGTTTTTGCAGTGTAGATTTCTCCAGAAACGTTGGACTATTAATCAATAAAGGTTTAGGTTTTTTGGTGAAGAGCTCTAAAAATCAAAATAATGAAAAGAACATCTTGAAAACAATGTGTGATTAATAGATTTTTAATTGGAGTACAAAGCACTACAATGTAACTACATGTTCTTGTAATTGGTTTGAAAAAGTAGTGCATCAGTAATAAATGTGTGACTTTGTGTTTGCACAGCCATTGCTTTTTTCCTCCTCTCTGTGGATCTCTGCTTCTGTAAATGTTCATGTCTGAGCCAGTGGGCAAAATGCTGCGTCCACTGTTGTAAAGGAGCCAGGGCATCAGTTCAAAGCTCTCAGGTGTGTGTAGAGCAGAAGTCGACCATGAATGAGAGCTCATCCGCTGGAGCCGGGGAAAGCACATGGTCAAGTGGTCAACAAATGAAAATGGAAAATTGCTACCACTTGTTGGGCCTGTTCAAGTACATGCAGGCGCTATAGGTGGGTATGTCATGATGGATGCTCCGTGTCTCTGTTGTTGTTGATATGAACAAAAAAAAAAAAAACCTCCCCATTCACAGCCATAATAGACGAATAGATGTGTGCAGGTCACCCGCTAACATGAAATTGCCTGTGTGCAAAATTGCCTGGTTCTGTTTATTTGATGTAAGTCCAATCGTGTTTTTAAGTTCAAGTAGATTGTTTGTGTTTTTTTATCGAAATATAAGGAATTTTAACTTGTTTCTCAGGCACCTACATGGGAGACATGAACGTTGTTTTCAATATGCTTGCTGCTGCCTAATTGAAGAGACAGAGTGGTACATACTGCCACCAAGTTCCATTGAAGCAAGTACAAAACATTAACAATGTTTCACTACTTTTGTCACGGTGTGGTTCACTTCATGTTATATTTTGTAGTTTTCTGCCACTCGTGTCCCCGGGTAACTTCACTTCCTGCCTTGTCATGTCATCCCCTGTGATCGTCTAATAGTTTCCACCTGTGTCCAATCACCTGCACCTCCCTAGTGTATTTAAGCCGTGTGTGTCTGTTGTCACTTGTTGCGTCATTGTCTTTTGCCACGCATGTCCTTGTTTTTTCGTCGTGGATGGTCGTAGTTCCTGTCTTCCGTTTTTGCCCCTTGGCCTTTTGCTTTTGACTATTAAAGTCCCTTTTGTTTTTTGAACTCCGCGTCTGAGTCCTACCTCCCCGCAATCCCTGACAACTGTTGGCAACAGCATACTGTGGACAAAAGTAATGAACAATTTTAAGCAGGACGTTTCAAGGGGAATTTCATTATTCATCCTTGGAATCAGATTCTGCAAGTGAGTGTGATCATTATTTAAAAGCCTAAAGATTGCCTAAAGATTTCCATAAGTTAAGTCTAATTAAATGTTTGTGCATCATTTACAACATAACTTAACTGCAGATAATGTGAAATGTAGGAATGCCAGAGCAAATACGCCAGAATGGCAATTTAATGAAAACAAATGTTGGATGTGGAAATACATATGCAATTGTGTGTTTAGAGTGCGTTGATCTCTTATCTCTATATTTATATGCTTTTTAGTTATACACACACACACTCATCGACATAAGCAAGCTAAGGAGTTTGTATTTGCCTAATCTTAGGCATTTTACATTTCATTTCCATGATTGTTCAGATGGAAGCACTCTGCAGTCATCAGAGACACAACACACTACACTAGCTCACATAGGATTTACATTTTCAGATGATAAAGAACCTCTCTCTGAACAATATAACCGGCGCAGTCATTTGTTGTGAAGAAAGCTCCTCAGACCAACATCTTCCACTACAGTATTCGGCCTGCAGTACGTTGCTATCCACTTGGTCAAGGTATCTATTCAAAGTAGTCTGCTCCACCGATTGTTTGGTTAGCTAGATGGCTGGCATCAATGCTGTGAAATGCCCGTAAGTGATATTTTAGGCTTGTACTACTGTGGTGATAAGATTAATGTGTTTGCAGTGGCAACAAATAGCTTTGCTTTTATCGACTACGCTGTCTGGTAGAGATTTTAAATGAAACTTTTTCCCTAACCAGAAAAGGAGCAGGCAGGTCCGACTGCCTGCCGAACAGCCCTAAGATGTTAAATGGGTCTTCATCTCCAATTCCATCTGTCTCTGAAGTGCCGCGGATTCAGCCTGCAAACTAAACTGAGACAGCTAAGCTAAACTAAGGATGTGCGCACTCACTTCGTCGCGGTTCGTAGTCGGTGCGCAAGCACCACCGCTGCCACCAATGTACTTTTCACATCAAAAATTGGGATGTTTTAATATCACGGTTTTATGGGTCATCTTGTTTAAAACAGAACCGAAGGATTACCAGCAAGCCCCGGCTGACATGCTGTCCATATTAGACTGTAAAAGGTACGGGATGCTCCATTAGTCACAACTAAGTCGTGGTTGCTATTTAGAAAACAGCATGTGCTGTATAGAAACAGCATTATACCGTTATTTTACTGTTCCTACCTTGGAGCCCATGAACAGTAAATTACTGCAAAATGTTTCGCAGTATAACACTATTATAATTTCATGATTTTAAAGCCTCCCATTTCAAAATAAAACCCCTTAGAATTAAAACATAAAAAGGACTCAAACAAGACAGTCTTTCGATAATATACTTTTATTAAAGTTAACAGTAATCACATTTTGGAAAAATACAAATAAAACATAAAACTGGATTCATTACAACAAATGCAAACATATTTAACAACAAACATTTTGAATTCTTAAATTACTGTTCAATACAATTGGAACACTGATCACATTCTCAACAATCTACAACCAAGACTGCAACTACATTTTCAGGGAACTGAACACAATTTAAAACAGTGTTACCTAGGTAAGATGGTATCACAAACGGGGTAGGCAAAGGCAGGACCCAAATGCAGATTTCCAACACAAAAACTACTTTATTAATTCAAATCAAACTGCCGAGGGGCAAAACGCAGACAGGGACTAGGAACTTACAGGCAAGCCATTCAATGACGCGACAAAAGACACACATGGCTTAAATACACTGGGAAGGTGCAGGTGATTGGACACAGGTGGAAACAATCAGACACGGCAGACAATCACAAGGGATGACAAGGCAAGAAGTGAAATTAACCCAGGCACACAAGAGGCAGGAAACTACAAAGTAAAGCAGGAAATAAACTCTAACCATGACAGAAGGAGTGGTAGCACACTGCATCCTGTGTTCTTTTTTCCCAATGTCCTGTGCGGAAATATTCAGATGGCCACATGGGGTTTTTTATCAGATAGTTGCTGCCTTTTTCTGGACAAGCTTTCCTGTCCTCGTAGACACCACCGTTCCATGGTTGTCTTTTGACCCAAGGAAGGGCTAAAATGCTGTAGCCGACGCTAACGTAGCATCAACGTTAGCTGCTAGCGTTAAATGGATACGACCAAGCTAAAGTTGGCTAACTAAACTTTGCTTGTTCAATTGCTGACAAATGAAATTGGGTGTCAACATGAAAAGATAATGTTACAGATATTAACTTAAATTTTGCCACTCAGAGTAAAGTTAGGTGGAGGAGTAGGTGGTGCTGACCACCACAGCGCGCGGCAAAAACAGTCTGAATGAGGCCGGAATCGACTGCTTGGTCCACTTTGGTGCTTCGTTCATCATGTCATGATTCAAAATTTTACAGACGTTATAGTGTAGCTGTAGAGTAGGTTGGCCCATTGGGTATTTCCACTGTTTTTTCTCCCCCAGTTATTGCCCCTCTATAGGTCCTCACACCCAAATCCTACAGAAATGCTCCTCTAATACTCACACATAGTTTATAGTACATTGGTTATTTTCATAGATAAATAACTTAATGTTTGTCACTGCATCCACCCATTGAAGACTCAAATAAAAAAAAAAAAGAATTATTACTGAATTATAACTTTCAGTGGTTGTAGTCAAGTTTAGGGAGAGATATCGCTGAGATGCCACAGTGGCCTACTTGGAAAAACACCCATAGACTTAACATTATTTTGGAATGATTAGAAATGGTTACATTACATACAATAAAACGCGACCACATTACACCGGCTTTGGCCACCCTCCACTGGCTTCCTGTTTGTTTCAGGATTGAATTTAAAATTGTATTAGTTACAAAAATTTTAAATGGGTTGTCGCCTTCCTACTTGTCGGAGCTCTTACATGTCCACACACCTATCAAAGCACTGAGGTCGTCTAATCAGATGCTCCTCGATGTGCCTGGATCCAGGTTAAAAACCAGAGGTGACCAAGCCTTTTCAGTGGCTGCTCCAAACCTCTGGAATAGTTTACCTATCCATGTAAGAACAGCTCGGACCATTGCAACGTTCAAGTCCCTCCTTAAGACCCACTATTATTCATTGGCTTTTAATTCAAGTTGAGCTTTGATATTTTGACTTTATTCTTCTCTATTGTCAGATATTTTGTATTGTACATTGTGCTCTGTCTGTTTTATTGAGGTTGAATTTAAATGTGCTATATAAATAAAATTGAACTTGAACTTGAACATACACCTCTCTAGGAACAGTCACCTTATCGTGGTGGAGAGGTTTGTATGTCCCTATCACCCTGAGGGCTGTGTTGTCGGGAGCCTTGTGCTCC